GAAACTGGTAATTGCAGGGGGAGACTGTTTACTTTGGTCGTGAACCAAAAATTATGTGAAACTTCAAAGACACTTCTTCTGCAAGCTAGTTGCAGCCTCAAAGCTAAAGCTAATGGGCTGTGTTTGACTAGCACCGTGTTTGTTGACGGTTAATTCTAATTAATATTCCAGCCAAACTTAAATATTGATAGAATAATATTATGTAATTAAAAGTATGCATTATTGATAACCTCTCATTGCTGTATACATTTTTGTGATTGTTCTGGCCCAGCTGGATTCTCATCACGCTTAGACTATCTAAGCAAACAGTCCTGCTAAATAATACAATAAAAGTTTTCCTTCAAAATTCAATCATCAAACGTCAACGAGAGGGTTTCACTTCCAGTCCGTGATTGTAATTTGTTTACAGAAAGCAAAAATCAGAAGGCATCAATCTGCTGGTGGCAAGGAAGAATACAGATACAACAATAAAATATAAATTTAAGTAAATGATGTGGAATTTTAGGAGAGCATTAGGAATTCTGGGAAACAGGACGACTGGAGAGAGAGGTGGAGATTATCCACAGAGGACGCTTTGTCCCGTGTCAGGCCTCCCCTCCTTCCTTTAGGCTGAAAGCTGTAGAGATAACTGGGGGTTTGTTCATCCTCCAAGGCAGGTTTGCCAACAGCAACTCCCGCTGTGTCTGCAGCCTAAACGGGCAGCTTAGCGAGCATAAGGGTTCTCCCCAGCTGGACCCACACTGCAGAGCTGTCCAGGACATGACCTGTCCTGCGCATCTGGCAAAAGGCCCCTGCGTGCCTCTGGGGGAAGGCCTGAGTCCCCTTCACAGCTGGCTTGCTGCTCTATAAAACTATACAGGAAGCTGGCCATGTATATTTCATCTTTACTAAAGGACCACCCACCCTGTCATATACAAGCCTGAGAGCTTTGCTGTTCACATGGCTCTTATGTTCCTGTTGTTGATCATGCTGGTTTTATCAAACATGTACAGGGTTCTCTTAGGAATCTGCAAGGGGAGTATGGGCTGGTTCACTCCTGCCTCATTTGTACCCTTTATCTCTCTCTCTTCCTGCCTCTGCCTCATCTGTACCCTGTATCACGCTCTCTCTCTACCTCACTCCTATCCCATCTGTACCCTGACTCCCCCTCTCTCTCCATCTCTGCCTTAACTGTACCCTGTATCCTTCTCTCTACCTGCCTCAGGCTCATTTATACCCTGTATCCCTATCTCTTCCTGCCTCTGCCTCATCTGTACCATGTGTACCTCTCTCTCTACCTCACTCCTATCCCATTTGTACCCTGTGTCCCTCTCTCTTTCCTGTATCCCCCTCTCTTCCCACTCCATCTGTACCCTATATTCCTCTCTCCTTTCTGTAGCCCTCTCTCTTCCTACTCCATCAATAACCTGTATTCCTCTATATTTTCTGTACCCCCCTCTCTTCCTACCCCATCTGTACCTCATATTCCTCATTTTACTGCATCCCTTTCTTCCTAATTCATCTGCACCCTGAATTCCTCTCTCTTCCTAGCCCATCCGTACACTGTATTCCTCTCTCGTTGCAGCATCCCTCTTTTCCTATCCCATTTGTACCCTATATTCCTCTCTCTTTTCTGTATCCCTCTCTCTTCCTACCCCATCTGTACCCTGTATCCCCGGCTCCCATCCCGCCTCTGCCTCCTCTGTACCTTGTATCCTTCTCTCTACATTACACCTGCTTCATTTGTACTGCATACCTCCCATCTGTCTGCTGCATACCAGCATAATCTTCCTCAGCTCCCTGTCATGCCGGCCTCTGGCTCCCTGCTATCTTTAATTAAAAAGAGGCCAGATCTCTCCTGAAAGAGCATGGACAGATTTACGAAGAAGCATCGGCAGCAGGATGCCAGAGAGCAGACACAAGTCAAACACACAGCCGACACCTTGATGGTGGATGGGAAGTGGCTGCTCTGGACGATTACCCATGTGGCCCTAAATCCAAAGCGCACGTCATGAAGCCATGGGGGAGGGTGGGGGGACTGCAATCACAGCACATCTGTGAGGCCCCCTCCCCACTCCTACCCCCACCACTCACCAAGCACACAGATATCCTTCTTAGTCTTATTTTCACTTGTCAGACAGAAACAAATGTTAAAATCAGGCAGGATTTATCTGAAAGCAAATGTTTGTCCTAATTTAGTTATACTAAACCCAATAAGCATTTACATCTAAACGCTTATTAAATGTTTAACTGTCTGATTGCACAGTTGTTAAAATCAATTGAAAGGGGTTCATTCTGAAATTATTTAATTAAAATGTTCTGCATATTTAATATTTTTTCATCTGGATGAGAAATTGAATTGAGCTTTTAAAAGGAGTTTCCCTGTTGCATCGCAGTTCTTCTGTGTTTTAATTAGATGAAATGGGGACGGTTTAAAAAATTAATTTTGCTGCTCAGTTGGGGTATTGCAGGGGTGCAACAAACTGTGGTGCAGGAGGCTCCAGAGCCACGCGGCGGCTAGACCTCAAGTCAGCTGATGTCTTGCACCCTGGGTGTGTCACATGACCTCAGTATGGGTTCAGTGGGAGCACCAAGACGCACTGTGGCCTCACTCAGATCCAGTACACCTGCTGGTTATATTTTCACATGTGATGCTTTTACAAGCAGACATTTAGATACAGCACCAGCAAGTGTTTGAGTGTTATTGAACTAAACCATAATTAAAATGGTTGGCTGTTCAACTTTTAACTGGCTTATATCCAGAGCACAGAAGTGCTTGTTCAGTGGTGAATAGTTCAGCAAAATTAATTACGGAGATGAGCAATGAAGGGTTTTATACTTTAAGTACACTAGAGCTGACTCATTCTGTTCCATTTATGGGTAAGCATTAGTAAATAGAATTCGGAAAGTAAAAAATGAACTTATGTACAAAAAAATTACAGTAAAAACATTATGGTTCAAAAAAATATAAAACTTAGCAATAGTGCTGTTGCAGCACTATCTGTGTAGCTAAACGGGTTTCAGGCAGCACCATCGGAAACAAAACGGAAGCTTTGTGATCCTGCTCCAGGACCGATCTTGTCAAATGAGTCCCGTGACATTGCTGTCTGATTTCTGGGGAACTCCAGGCAGTCATTGAGTCGCCGAAAATATAATGTGAGATCAAACCTCAGTATGTAACGCATAGCGTTACATTCCCCGAAGAGTACAATTGTGCATATGTCTACTCTTTGTCATTTTTAGGACTGATCTTTGGGGATCTCTGTCTGTCGTTTAACAGAGATCATCACGAGAGCCAGCATTAGAACCAAAAGTTCAAAGGAACACGTGTGACAAACGGCAGATTAAAATCGGTGTTATGGACAGAAAAAAGTTAAGGTATCCATCTGTGCGGTGATGTGCTGCGGAAAAATGTAAATACTTAATGAAACAGATGTGAGGCCCCACCAGGCATACATCTGCTGGGGAGGCAATGGAACAATGAAAGGTAATGGCCATTATGACCAGAGAGGAGAAAAAACTTCCAAGGAAAATCCTGGGAATTCAGCATGACCTCGAATTCCATTGATGGATCAGCTACTAGTAAACCTGCCGCCTTGGGAAGATGCATGTTATTGAACAGGACTCCTTCAGGACTCGCATCCAAAGCAGTGGGGTGCATCCAGAACACGAGATCTTCCATTTACTTTCAGTGAAGAATTCACTCCTTACTACACATTTCTCATTGGGTGGCGATAAACACTAGATTTAGTTATAAATTAATGTTCTTAATTGCGTTTTTATCGGAAAATAACTTTTGCTTTCTGTGAAACTTATTTACATTTATATGAAAACTGGGAGACGTTTACAGCCGTATGGAGAGGTTGTACCACCACATTCTTATTTATGTTTCCCAGCATTTAATGTTCTCCACAGTCATTTTAAAAGTTCCCTCAACATAAAGCAATTACAGTAAGATTTTTTCTTTCCAGCACACGGCATGAAACTGCAGATTTGGACTTGGAGCTCTAGAGCTTGAAAAGGCTCCCGCTTTTCATGTAGAGCATGAGTCATTAGCTGGTCTTCAGAAGTTATTTGTATGCTGCGGCAGTTCTGGCAGGGAAGCGTGACGTCCCGCACGCCCAGTTCTACTTTTAAAGGTCTGAGATTACAGGTCCCACAGTACCACAGATAAAACATGAAGTGGACCTAAGCCCATTTTTTTTTTCTTTCAGAGTTCAGTGGGGGGGGGGGTGCCAGTGCAAAGATGAGGTGGTTTCCTTCAAAAAATTCATGGCAAGCCTATGTGTACACGCACGCACGCACACACACACACCCACATACACACAAAGATTAGGTATGTATAGTATTGTGGGGACTCTCCATTCATTTCTATTGGTATAACCCTAATGCAGCCGTAACCTTAACCATAAGTAACCAAACAAAACACAAGACTTTTTACTGTTTTTATTGCAGTCACAGATATTTACTAAATTGAGGTTTATGTTGTGGGGACTAGAAAAATGTCCCCACAAGCTAAAAAGTAACAGGTGTTTCATAACATTTGGTCCCCACTATGTAATATATACATAAACCACACACACACACACACACACACAATATAATGGCATCTACAACTATACAAGCAAGCAATCAGCTAATGTGTATGTTACATGGACACATTTACATGTCTGTGCTCATTTCTTTGTGAGCAAACACCAGTGGAGAATATCATAAGATTTTATGTTTACTTCGCTGACCATAATGTAGTTATTTTTTTACTGAACTACCTGAAATTGTTCAAGGGTAAAACAGCATCCTCCTAGGACTTAAACCAGCTACCTGCCGGCTAAGCGTTACATAAGCTGTCTGGCAAGCTCTGCACCAGGAATGTCAAAGCACAGTTTAGCAACAGCCTAGAGCTTCTTACGAGTCATAAAAAACAGAACCATTGTCTTACAGAAGTAACAGTGCAGAGACAGATTGTCTTCATTTTATATTTTTACTTTATACTGGTGAAATAAAAAAGCACAAGGAAGCACCTGTGTTAAATAATTTATTAAGTAAAAGTAGAAGAGGTAATAACAACATAGAAGTGGATCATGCTGTGCTGGACAGCGCTCTTGACGAAGAGCGTGACTTTGGCACGGAATGAAGGCGACATCACTGGCTCAGAGCGGACCTTTAGCCACGCACAGCTCCACAAACGCAGTGCCGCGCGGCACGGCCACATCGCTGCCGTTATTTGCCTGTCAACATCCCAGCATCCCGGGATACTGCATTTCTATGTAGCTGTCAGCGATGATACCGCAGGACTGTGAACAGCAGCAGCATACTGACCTGCTGTCTGGCCAGAAAAGTGATATTCCGCCCCCAGGGACGCCACACCATCTCCTGCTTTGTTTGTTTCCCGTTTTACTCTAAGTCATTTTGCTTTTCCCACTCAACTGGCTCGAAGGACCTGAATAACAACATACCAAAAGGTCGTCAGAGACAACAGCAGAGCAGAGAGCTCTTTCAAAGTAGAAGTCACAGTGCCCCCTAGTGGATAGGAGGACCCAGGGTAGCCCCTCAGCTGGTGTCATCCCTCATGGCTCGACCCGATTTGCTGAGCACTGAGCTCAACTCTTGCAGCAGGCTGGGAACAAGCTGAGATTGCTGCTCCACAGTTGCCATATTGGGCTGGGTTCTGTCTTGGCTGACGAGATACCCAAGCTGCCAACTGGACATCTGACACATGGCCTCGTCCTTCTTCCTGTGGCTGATGAGACACCCAGCTGTGTCTTTCTGCTTCAAGCAGTCGGCCACCAAAGCCATCCTCTGGTGGAACGGTGCATTGGAGATGTCGGTACAGGCCTCCTGGGGCTTCCGTGCCACTGGTGGAAGGCTCTAGAAGGTGAGACATGAGTCAGGGAGGAATGGGCTTCACAGCGACACCACAGTGTGGTTCAGTAATAGTGTGGATTATGAGGCATTTCTTCTTGCTAGGAGTGTGGGTGTTTTTTTAAACACAGAAAATGTGTACAAGCATAATTATAAAAACGTTTGCACATCTAAAGAGCACCATGGGAAAAGAGGAAGTGGGTCACACAAGGAGCCACTGCTTCTCATCGTATACAAAATATAATCTAATCTAATTACTGTCTCGTTTCATTTTCAAAAGATTTTCCTTTTTAAGAATAATTAAAAAGTCATGCAGGAGAAGAGATAAAACCTCTTTTTTGGACTTTTCCTCGTCCTTCTGCGTACTGCTCTGGACTGCCGTCACAGTGCCCCCTCTGGTGTTGCTCTGAAGCGCAGGCTGCCGATGAATCCTCCCTGCAGGCCATGCCTCTCCACCATACTGCAGTGGGAAATGCAGCAGGTGCATCCGAAATCGCATGCTTGCACAGTTATTGTAGTATGTACTATATGTATGCATGAGAACAGTATGCATGCACTCAGACATACTGCAGTCACCATCTTGCACATTACCTGACCCAGATGTTTACATTGTACAATGTAGTTAGAGCCCAGCGTAAATTAAAATTTAAAACCATCAACAAAAGAAATACACATTTTGAGTAAACGTATGTAACTGGGTATTGTATTCTACTTAAATGTGTACAAAGACGGCAATTCCTCCACCATCTTGACATAAATTTCTAGGAAAATCATGTTCTACGTCTCTGTTGCAGCTCCAGAAGCCTTGTGGGATACCAGAGCTTCCACCAGTTGCACACTTGAGAATTTTGCAGAATGTAGTAGGTCACCATTCACCTACTGTCTCATCCATACTGAAGACTTGGAGATACCGCTTACTTCACATACTATATTTTACCTACTACACTGCAAACAAATATGCGATTTTGGTTGCACCCGTTGCCCATCAGCACGACGACGTGAGTTTGTGATCCCCGTGTCCCATCCTGGACATGCTAAGCACCCGGCAGATAGAACAGCATTGGAGAGAATGCGGACCGTGAGGATGTCGGAGCAGCAGGCTGACAGACTGCTGCCAGGGCCATTCAGAAATTCACAACTCGGCTGAAATTATATAGAAATTAGGGGGAGACTGATGGAGACAGACACTTAACTCAGGATGAGTTAGTGCTCCATGGTCAGGACGGGGTGGGACGAGGGGGGGCCTAGCCATGGGGTTTGTCCTAAATAATTCAGACAGGTCTGCTTCTCTCTCTCCGCATCCTTATGTTATACTATTGAAGGAACAGAGGTGAGGAACTGACCGACTTTCTGTCATCCGATTACTCAAATCGCCCACTAAATAAAAATATTTTTCATCACTGTCCTTATGTCAAATTGTTCTTAAACAGCCCGCAAATTCAACAGACAAATCTGTCGATCCAACCAATATGAAAATCATTTAAAAAAAGGTACAATTTTTTTTCTAATGACAGGAGTCATGCTAAAATTTAGCCAGCTACTGTAGTTACTTTTACATGAATAACCTGCAAGCATGTGACATGACTGGTACAGTAAAGCCATTCCAGCAGTGATTCCGGCACATTCTTTAATTTAGAGGCAAAGATAGTACTGACGTGCTTTGGGGCTTCCGTTACACTCCTCTCCGAGACATAACAACTTGTCCTCTCCCAGTTTCCTCTGTGACCTCTGAACCCCAGCGGTTCGGCACGCCACTCATTTAATCTGCGCGAAAGCAATTTGCCGGTCTCCATGGAAACCGCGCCAGCAAGGAGACCAGCTAATGGGTGGCGGATGGATTTTGAAACAGAGGGTTTAAGAAAATCCAATATCTGCTGTTAGCCTTCCCACAAATCCCATGGGCACGGACGCCGAGGCAGGCGCAGGCATTAACCGGGGCACCAGGAGCCTGCTCTGTTTCAGGAAAACTGGCTTCGACAAAAAAATCTCTCTACAGACATTCAGTTTGAGAGACACGGTGTTAGGAGAGAAGGGGAAAGCTTGTGTTATTGATTATCTAATTTGAATGCCCATGGTACTTAGGAAACAGACTGGCTTCTGCAAACTTCACCACAACACCCAGCATACAAAGTGCATACATTTACCACGGTACAGGCCAGCAACAATAAACCCACATGCTGGTACACGACCACTGCCCTCTATGCTATATATAAAGTCAAAGAAACACAAATAATTAATCAGTCCATTTTGTGCTAAAGGTCCAAAAGAACAACCTACCCGTACAACTCGGGAATAGGCAGGAACAAAAAAAGCCAACAGAAATGTCTAAAAACATCTGTAGGTTTTGCTTGAAGTTGCATTATTTATACCTTGCCTTGTAAGCCTGTGACAGTAATGGCACTTAACTAGGGGCTGGGGGATGTCTAAAGCCTTGCGAGCCTGTTTGCAGGAACAAAGCCACTTTGCAGACTTGCTATTTGTGTTCACCAGATGACCTCAAACCCTTTCGACTCGTTTGTTTGTTGTCTGAATACTAGGGCAAATGGAAATCCATTCATTCGACAGTAATTCTGAAGGAAGCATGTTATTGTACTTGGTGAATTTGAGCAGAATTAGGACGCTTTAGGAAGATCAGGTGATCATATTAAATTCCACTTTAACTTTTTTTGTAATATGCATCTTATTCTCTGAACATTGTTTTGCACTTTTTCAAAGTACTGCACGTACAGTCAAAGTGGTTTATCTGCATAGTATGTGTATATTTGGTCAGACAAAGAAGAGTTAACTGAATATATGCAAATGAACAGTAACAACAAAAAGTAATGTCTTCTCCAAAAAGGTACTGATATCCTGACGGGTGGCTAGAACAGCGTTTCAGTTCGTCAAACCTTGTTACATTTCATAACTAGCTCACTCTATCAATTAATTTAATTACTTAAAAAGTCAGAGGTACTGATTACTCAAATGTGGGGTGCTGGGGGTTAAGTCAACAAATGCATGGATATATTAGGATGGTTACTATAAATACTGGGGTGACTTCAGGAGAGTTAACAGACTTTGACAGACCACTATAGAGATAATTTAAGCATAACCTCCTTTGACAGCCTTTTGAACAGTCCTGTATATTCTGATATACAATAGAAATGAAGATCAGTAGTAAGCTGGATGTCTGCTTAACCACCAATGTGACATATGTATTTTGTTATCAGAGTATATTTAAAAAATCTGAACTGGGCAGCAAATGGAATTTCTGGGACCAGCGTATGGAATTACCTTCACCCTGAGGATCTCCGTCACCCACTTCAGCTGTGTCTCCTGGTCCACGCAGCAGAAGAACCTACATGGCCGGCCAGGATAAATGTATGGAAAAGGGTATCTTTCAAACAAGTGTCTGTTGCCCACAAGTCCACATTGACAATCCCCATGCCCCCCCCCCCCCCCCCCCCCCCCCCCCCCCCCCCCCCCAACCCCCACCCATGACAAACAGAATGTGCTGAGGCAAACAGGCAACCTTACTTAAGCAAAATAACATGGGGGGGGGGGGACTTTCTTCTGCTGCTTTGCACAGGAAGGCAATTGTTTGATGTGATGAGAGCCAGGAAAAAAATATCCCATGGGAGCATGTGTCGCTTCATAATGTGAGCAGTAGTGAGCAGGCGCCGTAACTGCGAGGATGCGGGACTGGGTTCGAGCGCACCGCTGAGCGTGTGCTGTCTCCACTGCATGCCTGATAATGACTGTCAAAGACAGCAATAAACGCGATGCAGGCTTTTTGGCACCATGTTCATTTAGCTATTATATGGTGCATATTCTCCATTTATTTGAATGTTTATGCAATTAAATTGTGTACATATAATATATTCATTCGGTAATGTTTATACTATTAGACGGAGTTTATTTACCATGATTATTTTTTGACATTTACACTATATTATGTGGTGTTTATTTAATGTGAATAGTTTGTAAGATTTATAATATTAGATGGTTTATATTTACCATGTTTATCATGTAACATTTATTCTACTCCTTTTGCTCACAGATGGTAGATACAGTTTCAAACTCGCTCCCTCAGTGCAACTGATCAAAGGTCCACAATAACATTAATAAGACTAAAAGAGACTGTAGATCACCAGTTTTTGTTCCCTACACTTCTGGGCTTGTTCCTGTGTTACAAGCCCATCCCAGAATCATACAGACCCTGACATCTCTCTGACAGGCAGCATTAGGCCAAAAACGCATCTCCCGCCCTGGCTCAATGCTGTGCTTTATACACACATCATGAAAAAGGAGAATGGAAAGTCTGGCATGTGTCCAGTTTTGTCAGTGACTGTTGGAATGAGAGGCTGTAAATCAACAGCTTTTATAACCTGGCAGAATCTCCAGCCACGATGGGGGTGCAGTGTGACTCTATGTTTGTGCTGTAAGATCGATCAGACAAGTATTTTATTAAAATATGTATTAATAATGGTGGAAAAAGTAATTTTGTAATTTAATGCGTATTTAGATAAACACAAGAAAACACTTACCATTGTTGCTTTTCTGTGTAAACTGTAAATCCCCAACTATTAAGAACACAAATAAAAAACAACACCACAATTAATTGATGGTATTTATCCAGTAACTATGTTGTGTAAGTGTGTAAGTGTTCTTATGGATTGAATGGCCTTCGGGAAGTCCCTGTTGACTCTTTGGTGGAGCAATATGCTGCTTTACAACACAGATCACAGACTTCTAACTGGCCTATGAAGAGCTAAAGAGGCCAGTCATGTGCCATCCTGGTCCCTGGGGGTGTGCTCTTTCGGGAAGCACCACAGTGACTGACACTGAGCAGAAGCCAGTAGGAAAAGAGCTCAAGAAATGGAAGGTGCGCATTGCACTTTAGTTAATCACTACTACAGCAGATTCTTCCAATCAGAGCTGAAGTAACTTATTTACTAGATAAACACCTCAAAACCAGCTTCAATCGTTGGATTTTTCATGAAAGAATCCATGGATAAATAAGCCACACAATGGTACAACAGCAGGCCCCACTGGGGAATGAAAATAGGGCAGTCTTCATGGTTAATACCACCAATACCTTAACTGCTAACTGAACCATCAATGGGGCTGAAAGAGAGCCAGGGTAGCTTGTAATGGCTGGGGCCCACAGTGTGCTGATCTCCAGCCTCCGCACACGGTCCTAAAACACATGAGGCCAGACAGCCCTCCGGCTGAATCTTATACACTCTCCCAGCTTCTCTCTGATGCAACAAATAAAAGGAGCAAGCAAAAAGGAAAAGCAGACTAACTCTTTTTGCAGACAAAATAACTGAATCCCAGCCAGCGGACTGAAAGGCCCTGAAAGAGGAGACACTGTGAGGAGAGAGCAGCCTTGAGGAGGCACCGTGAGGAGAGAGCGGCCACGAGGAGACATTGTGAAGAGAGAGTGGCTGTGAGGAAACACTGTGAGGACAGAGCGGTCTTGAGGAGACACTGTGAAAAGAGAGCGGCCGTGAGGAGACACTGTGAGGACAGAGTGGTCTTAAGGAGACATGGTGAGGAGAGAGCGACCGCAAGGAGACACGGTGACGAGAGAGAGGCTGCGAGGACACACTGTGAGGAGAGAGCGGCCTTGAGAAGGCACCGTGAGGAGAGAGTGGCTGTGAGGAAACACTGTGAGGAGAGAGCGGCCTTGAGAAGGCACCGTGAGGAGAGAGTGACTGTGAGGAAACACTGTGAGGAGAGAGCGGCCTTGAGGCACCGTCAGGAGAGCAGAAGGAGACACGCTTTTTTTCCCTAAGCTTTCCATTGGAAAATCTGCAATATGTATTTGCTATAGTGTGATCTAATTGAATTGGTTTAATCACAGGCAGATGTGGCAGCAGCTCTGATTTGAGATCGAGGAAGAATAGGGAGGGCAGCATGTGCCAGAGAAGAGCAGCGCGTGCAATTAGAGGCACGTGGAAACATCACTGAAGACAGGCTATAATGCAAAAATAATGAGCCTGCCTCATGGTGCTATATTTATAAATACAGCTTTTACTTTCAGCCTGCTGAAAATGCATTCTTTCAAATGAGGCTTCATTGTGTAATAATTGAGGAGACAAAGCTAGACCACCGCAAGCTGCAGACACAACTGCTGTAAATTGAATTTTCTGAACTACTCTGCGAACACTTTCTTTATCTCACCTTGTTGGCGGTTTTATCCGTTTCCTCAGGCCAAAGTAGCACTTCGCTGACCTCAGCGGAACCTCTCTCTCCGGTTTAGTGCTCTGGAATGAAGGTTTTAGTGTTACACACGAAAGTGTCTTTGGGACCACAATACCGCACACCTCCACATTCATACAACTAAATTATAAATTGCTTGATTTAGGATGCTCTTCAAAATGCATTAGTGCTAATGCAAACAGTTCAAACATTAATTTCATTATGACTGCTTTATAATATTATAACATTTATTGCATAGTGGCTCAAAAGGGTTCCAGGTCAGGGCCCATGTCTGGAAGGTTGTGGGTTTAAACCCTGGGGACCGTACAGCTTACAGGTTACAAATGGGCCTTTGAGCAATGTCCCCAACCCCAGCAACCCTAGCTACCCCAGGGATGCTGGCTGACTCTGATCTCTGACTCTAACCTTATACATTACTCTGGACAAATGTGCCTGCTGAATAAAATTAAATAGGGTGCTATGAGGTAAATTCCCAAAGTAGCCTTTGTGCTCCGAAACGCCAAAGACGACGTCTGCTCAGTATTAATTCTGCTGCTGCAAGACTATTGTCCCCCCAGAAATGAACAGCGGCGATGTTATGCTGTCACACAAGAATGGCACGACCCCCGTTACTACAAAGTCATCCAGGCTTCGGCCACTTTCCAGTGGGTTCGCCCAGCCTGGGAGGGAGGAATTCAGGCGAGAGTGTTTTGGAAACAATCCACCAGACAAACCACAGTGTGGTTTTGCATATCACTGTCACATCATTGCACAGTTACAGAAATGTAGAGATAGCATACTTAAGTCCTCACTTAGCACCTTTGTACTGCATGGAAATGCACTGGAAACAAAATGTGCTGGCAGTCACTTTGAGGCTAAAGTCTCACCTTGAGCCTGCATGTTCCTTCATTTACGCACTAATACCTCGCTACCATATTGCTGCTGGTTAGTGCTGATCCTATAATTAAAAAGCCCCCTCTTTCTTACTTTGCTGCTTATTTTTGTATTTATACGCAAATATATGACACGAGCAGTAAGTCTATAGAAAATAAGATGATTGTTCCCAGTGGCGCGTGTGGTGGATGAGAGGCCGGAGTTGGGGGATGAGCTGCGTCAGTCAGCGTCCGGCCCCATCCGATGGTTAAGTAAGGACAGACCATGGGGAACCTGTTCCATGGAGGGCCGATGTGCATGTGGGTTTTGGGGATGAGCTCTCAAACAGCCCAGGAACATCCATCTGTCCGTCACCAACACATCAGCCACGAGTAACGAGTAGCTCACAGGGCACGGATCAGAACATGGCTCTAAAAAAATGATTTATTTATTTATTTTGTGCGCACTGTCATGCCGTGCTGCAGAGTGAATATGAAAGCAGAATTAATTCGATCGAGATGTTTCATCTTCATTTTATATCGGCCTTCCCAGAATTTCCAAAAATTTGTCCCGCACCATGTCCTTGTATTTGTCTAACTGGAGATGTCTTCGTTTATCAAACTATCAATCCTCACATTTTCCAAAAGACTTTATCGCACAATTGCCCTGACATGTCTTAAAAATAGGGCTGTGAATTAATACATTTAAAAAAAATCAACTAATTGATCATACAGTTTTCTGGGATCAATTGCCATTAACTGCACCTAAACTTAAAATTTATAATCATAAATATTAATACACTGAATTCCCAAATTAATGCACAATTAGCACAAATGGGAGTGTATGGGGTCACTGTCACAAGTCATTACCATAACATAAATTTTCTCTAATTTTTTTAAATTAGCTTGTATACAGACTCAAATTATACAACTTCATTGTCTGAACTGTCGATTCTGCCTCTGGGGTACTTCATCAGTTTTGTTATGCTACCATTTATTTCTGTAATAAGTATTTAATGAAATCCAGGGCAAGAGTTACTGAGAGGAGAAAATGCTTATCATACAATTGATTGTTTATCAATTAAAATGGGTTACATGCACTAAAGTTGAAAGATCTGAAACCACTTTCTGTAGTTTTGTGTTACTGATTATTAGCTAGCTATTTGGGGAAAAGTTTTAAAAATCAAATCAGAGCAACAAATGACAATTTAAATATACCTAAAAAGGAATTGACAATTGCTCTACACAAAAAAAACAATGTATTTCACTGTAATGTTTTTTCTCCCAAAGAATTCTTAAGTTAATGAGAATAACACATATTTTTATATTAATTTAATGGTCTAACTTAAACTTGTGATGTACAAAAATACTACTTGCAAGCAAGTATAAGTTGAATTTCAATGATTTCAAAAAGGCTTGATGAACAGATAGCAACACGATAGAGTATTTTACACCATATGTACATATACTCAACAGACAGATCGAAAGACAATTCTGACCACATGATCGATCTAAATTCAAAAACCTATTTGGCAAATGCCTGAAAAATCAGAAGCTTGACAGCCACTGAAAATGCACTTTAACATGGTCCTACGATTTTAATACAAACTTTCAATGAAATAAATATTGCAAAATATATTTTTATTCTATGTACAGACGTGGACAAATTTGTTGATACCCTTCCACAAAAAACAAAAAAACATCTCTGAAATAACTTGAAACTCACAAAAGTTAAATGGCATCCCTTATTATTTATTCCATATTGCTTTTGATTATTAATTCAGGTGTATAATTAAACAAATGAAAATGGCACAGACAAAAAAAGATGGTACCCTCAATTTAATATTTTGTGGCACCGCCTTTTGCAGTGATCACTGCCAACAAGCGACCTCTGTACTTCACAATGAAACATCTGCATTTACCAACAGTTTGGCCAACTCTTCCTGAGCAAACTGCACAAGCTGTGTCAGGTTTGAATGGTGGCATCTCCTCACTGATATTTCCATAGATATTCAGTAGGATTAAGATCTGGGCTTAAGGAAGGCCATTTAAGAACAGTATTTTAATGTTTTTTTTTTCTTTTCTCAGCCATTCTTGAGTGCTTTTATCTGTATGTTTTGGGTCATTAATCCTGTTGGAGGACCCATGACCTGGGACTGAGGCTGAGCTTTCTGACACTGGGCAGTATGTTTAGCTCCAGGATGCCTGGGCAGTCTTGAGACTTCATGAAGCTGCTTGGAGATGGTCTTATAGCCTTTACCTTTAACATCTTTCCAGACAGGGCTCTCCTTTGCTTTCATTGGTCATTGTGTTCACCAAGGTGCACACAATGATACCAAACAACACAGTAGCAGGTCCTTCCCTTTAAATAGGCTGAATGGCTGATGAAAAGCTTGAAGGCACCTGTGATACTAATTAAGGTTAAACACTTAGTTTGAAACATGACTATAATGCAAGGATAAATAGTCTCTTTAGGGGCACCAACAAATCTCTCCATACTATTTTAGCATAACTTTGTAAACAACAAATTTCATTTCTCAGTTTTATTGGTTTACTCTATCACATACTAAAGGCATGCAGGTATACATTAGGCAATTGCTTTTAACTAAATCACTTTTCAGGAGAAAAGAAGCATTGTTTCAGTGAGCTGTAAGGGTACCAACAAATTTGCCCACAGCTCTATGCCTCCATCCAGCAATTTTTTAAAACAAAATACCAGGTAACATCAGCTTCCCTGTGAGACACCAAGTAAAACGTTTGATTTTAGCACTGAATTCTGGAATTCTGTGCAACGTCACGACCTAATCTCTAATGTTGTCTACTATCAGGAAGGAATCTTATAGGTCTCTTAAAATCTATGCACATACTGTTCTCTCATTTGGGAATCAAAATACAAAATGAGTTAACACAGTCAAAGAAATAATAATGAGTTATGACTTTTAAATTAATGCATTGCATTAATGCGATAAGTTTCCCACTCCTACATATAGAATTCTGGAAAAAAGAAGTCTGGGAAAAAACATTATATATCCAGCATTAGCTACAATCTACAAGAACAGTACAATAAAATCATAATGTTTTAAAGAGAATTCAACATTTTCATCTGCAGTAGATCAACAAAGTGAATTTATATTGCTTAATGGCTGAACTCATGTTCTGAATGGTTAAACATGTGTCAGTCATCTTTGTATTGAGAACGAGCAACAGCGCACATAATTGGAAAGACTGGGTGAGACACTGCATCACTGGGTGAGTTAAAAAATGTGTCAACGTCCATAACTATCCAACGAACTACTCAACAGAAGGTGATGAGAAACACTGAAGTCTATTAGCTTTGTGAAGCAGAAAATGTTTTGCTTCACTGAAGGTCTTTTATCAACTTAAGGGTGGTGTTGTTTTTGCACAACATATATGTGTGTGTGTGTTACATTTTTTCTTCGGTGAAGCACTGCTTTATCACTCACTTTCACATCTTTGTACAGCAGCAGCTTCTCATCACGCAGGACAATGAATCTGTCCTGGAACTTGTTTCCCGACAGCAGCTTGGATGATCCGTCCTTGAACCGGAAAAGGTCCCCTCTGAGAAAGTCCTTTGCCCCATCTGCAGAAAATGACTGATCAGCGAAACCCAAGGATTAGTTGTAATGATGGGGTGACAGGGATGCTGCAGGGGGGAGGATGAATATGAGGTGAAAGACGAGCCTTCAGCAGACCGGGCTCAGCTGCGTCAGACATCAATGGCCCTCGCTGCAGGGCAGTCTGTACTGCACTCTGAGGGAGCCCCCCCCCCCACAACAATCGCTGCTAAAATCAGGCTGAATGTTAAAAGTGCTGCAAGTGTACAACATCATTTACCTTGACGTCGCTCAAAGTTTTTACTGCGGTTTTTACCGAAGCGACATTTAGTACCCATAAGGGTATCTCTGCATCTGCTGAACTAACTGGCAGAAAAGACCCGCATGCCAGGGAGCCGGCAGATGCTCGACGGGAGCCCGCGCCCCGTAAAAAGGTCAGAGCGTCGGGAATGACGGACCTGCCACTGCCCAGTGCTGCCACTCGGCAGCCCGGCTCGTCTAATTGGCACTTAGGCCTGGTGGCCGCGGGGGAGGTTTGGGGGCCAGGGGGCAGTAATAAACAGGGTGCGGGTGAAGGCAATCACATTTCGGGCAGCTCTGGGGATGGGGGAGCTTCTGACAGGCAAATCACACAGATTTACCCCCGGCCGCCCCGTCTCTTGTCCCCGTGCCGCTCCACTGAATGAGACGTAATGAAAGGGCCAATAACACTGGGCGGGGGGGCACTGTGATTGATTGGGAATACATTCACAGAGACAAGCTGGGGGGGTGGCAAATAGGATGGGGTGGCAAGGCCTACACGTAACCAGCAAGAATCTTGAGTCCGCACAAGAGGATGACGGTCTTCGTCTGACCTCCCCCACATGAAAAACACCCCCCCCCCCCAAACAATACAGCTCTTACACAAACACTGAACACACACACCTACACCAGGCACTTGGACAAACACATTGTTGGTGGACATCTAAATCCTTATACATTATGCAAATTCCCTTCACTGAACATGGTGTTAAATTTATCTTCCTGTTCCGCGGTGCACGGATGCTGAGTAAATCCCAGCTTATGCTGGATCCAGGCTCCCTGTTATGCACCCAAGCATCTCTGCAGTGTACCTTTCTGGTAGGCCGCCATTTTGGCTGCTGAAAATTTCTTTATGACCAAGAAGGCTGAGCCAGGGTCTTCTAGAGCACTCCATTCAAGGACCTGTTCCAGAACCCTCTCCTTGGGATGCAGCGGACGTTCTGCCCAAAAAACGAAGAAGTTAATACGGGTTAGTACCCCAAGCAGACTAGAAGAAAGCTGAATGATTCAATCCTCCGGTAAATAATGCACCATAATACAGTCAGTTTATTTCTTCATTAACATTATTTCCAGCTTTCTATCGATATATAATTTGTATTTGAGTATAATATTTGAATTGTCTATACATACGTGAACTGCAGTAAAATAGTTTAGATTATGGTGCACTTTTGAGGCGATTCAGAGCAATTACCTAAATAACAATCAAGGATTTTCATTATTTAAAAAAAAAATCCATTAAAATAAGATGAAATTTCCCTCCTTCATTTTTGTAATTACGCAGTTCAGATTTGCAATTATCCTCTGCAAATCTGAACATGATTAGAAAACACAGTCATGTGCAAAATATACCTATTATAGGGCCATTATTTGCAGAGAGGTTACTGTAGCATATGCTATTAGCATGGATGCTCATTTTACAGCTCCAAAAAATGCCTTAATGACAATAAAGGAAAAACAAAAAAAAACACCGTACACCTAAATCACGGCAGGATTTCCATTGTCTGATAAGACCTTGTCTAAAGGATTATCTGTGGAAAATATTTACTTTCCCCTAAACGTATTTATTTCTGAAACAATTGCCTGCTTTTTCAATCACTGTGCCGTATTATGCTAATGCAGAAGAGAGGATCTCCTTAAATTGCCCTGCAATAACAGCCTCATCTATAAAAACATGTTTTTTTGCCATTTGAAACACAAAATGAAACACAGTTAAGACAGAAAAGTACACAGCTGTATGTGAGGCACACACCTTATATGGAGTGACCTCTCCCATCACAGAGAGGCACACACCTTATATGGAGTGACCTCTCCCATCACAGAGCTGTTCTTACCGGGATCAGAACTGCAGGGATCTATAAAGTAGTCTTTCACCTAAACTGTTGTTTATTAGTAAATAGCTGGTTGCAAAATTATATGCAGGCTGCAACGCAAAGTGACCCAAAATAGACTGATAGGCAGTCAGCAACCAGCTTTAAAAATGAGTTTTAATGTCTGAGAATCAGAACTGGGGTTTGGTTTCCAGGTATCAAGAACCAAGGCAACATTAAGACAAGCTGCTAATCGTAAGTGACATATTTTTACAAATATTCAGCTAGATATCTTGAAGTGATTCAGATTATGCTTTTTAAAGCACAGCATCAAGCAAGAATCAAGAGTTCAGGTTAGAGGTTGGTGCTTTGGCTACACATGTAAAAAATAGTGGCTGATTAGAAACCAAGAAAAATCTATAAGCCAGGAGTGGTAAGGTAAATAAACTATTACACTGCTGTTAAAAGAGATGCACTGTCTTTGCCTGTGGCTGTCCTGAGTTATTAATCAGAGAGAGTTTCCTGGATTAGGAATACCAAGTGAATAAGCGATTTATGGTGCTCTGAAAGACGCACAGATCCTCTGAGAAATAAACCTTTTACTGCATCTGCAGGTCTATGTGCTCGGGGTCAGGAATGCATACGCTACCCAGCTCTCCATTCTCAATGGTCTCAAATGTGGTCCACAGGTCGGCCGCATCCAGCACCTCGACATTCCTCATGCTCAGGACAGCATCGGCCAGCTCTTCAGACCGCATGGTGGGAGACACCTTCAGAAAGACAGGGCTGTTTTCAGGGTCTGACATCCTGGCCTGATGCGAGAACCCCTTGCTTAGGGTGATTAATTTAAGTTTTGGGTCCACACCAAAAACCTAAGTGAAGCATGAAGACTGACATTATATGACTGATGGTTCTTTGCCAGTGGCAAACACACACACACACACACACAGGTAAATTCAGCACCCACCTTCAGGACATACACTCATTTTCCTCACTCATTTATCCTATGTATTCAATTCATCCATACAACTTCACTCAAAACACTGATCAGACAGACAGACAAGCAGACAGACATGCAGACAGATAGGCAGAGGCATGCAGGAAGGGAGTCGGGCAGGAATACAGGCAGAGGCAGGCAGACAGACAGACATGCAGACAGATAGGCAGAGGCAGGCAGGAAGGGAGTCGGGCAGGAATACAGGNAGTCGGGCAGGAATACAGGCAGAGGCAGGCAGACAGACAGACATGCAGACAGATAGGCAGAGGCAGGCAGGAAGGGAGTCGGGCAGGAATACAGGCAGAGGCAGGCAGACAGACAGACAGACATGCAGATAGATAGGCAGAGGCAGGCAGGAAGGGAGTAGGGCAGGTATACAGGCAGAGGCAGGCAGACAGACAGACATGCAGACAGATAGGCAGAGGCAGGCAGGAAGGGAGTAGGGCAGGTATACAGGCAGAGGCAGGCAGACAGACAGACATGCAGACAGATAGGCAGAGGCAGGAAGGAAGTCGGGCAGGAANGCAGGAAGGGAGTAGGGCAGGTATACAGGCAGAGGCAGGCAGACAGACAGACATGCAGACAGATAGGCAGAGGCAGGAAGGAAGTCGGGCAGGAAAACAGGCAGAGGCAGGCAGACAGACAGACATGCAGACAGATAGGCAGAGGCAGGCAGGAAGGGAGTCGGGCAGGAATACAGGCAGAGGCAGGCAAAAAGAGGTAGACAGACAGACAGGCAAGCAGACAGATAGGCAGAGATGCACTGATCCGATATTCGTATCAGCATCAGCGCCGATCCAGACCTATTTGACGGATCAAGTATCGGCCATACGTGACCGATCCATGTCCGATATGCTAACACTGCCATTCAGTTTTTTGCCAGTGGGTGTGAGCGCAGTGACTTCTGCCTGCTGTGGTGTCATGCGCATACGCTTTGCAGGAGAACATCAGATAAGAGGGTGACAATGTGGAAGTATTCTATGCTTTTAACAACAACTAGTAGCACAGTGATTTGCAATCTTTGTAAAAAAAAAGTTTTGAGAGGTGGAAGTTGTTTTTAGCAGAAAATCCCTCAAAAATGCTTAAAACAAGATGTACAAATGTGGTGGAACAGCATGTTATGTATGTTTCTAGTAGCTTAATTAAATATTTTATAGCATACATATGGGGACACAATGTCCCCATAACGTGATAAATATCCGTTTTTTTTTCCCTTATGGGGACCGGTTTCCTGGTCCCCATAAGGGAAAACTCTATTTTATAAAAATCGGTTACTGCTATGAAAAAACTAAAAATGCAAAAACTCTTGTATTTTGTTAGGTTACTTATGATTATGGTTAGGGCAGGGTAGTGGTTAAGGTTGTCATAGTTAGCGTTAGCATTTTTCCCATTGAAATGAATGAGCGGTCCCCATAAGGATATGTCTACCCTACATGTGTGTGCATGTGTGTGTGTGTGCACATATATATATATGTATATATGTACATACATACTGTAGTTGTGTACTGGAATTGGGTCGGAACTGAAAAAATGTGGATCAGCCCATTTCTACACGGAGACAGACAGACAAGCAGAAGCTGGCAGGCAGGCAGATAGACAAACAGACACCTTTATTCCCTACTTTGATTAAGCAGCAGTTCTCCGCTTCCTTCTTCTCCAGATAGACCTCGAAGATCAGATCTCCGGCCCGAGACAACTACAAACATAAACAGCCTTTGTGAAAAACAGAAAGGATGACATGTCACACTGTCCTGCCAAAAAGGAAAGCAGCCCCACCGCAGAGGGAGAGTGTGGAGTATCCTGAACACCATCTTAACACTGTCTACCTTAGCTCTCCTCAGGCTCTGTCATGGCCATGCTGGTCAGCACAGATTCACAAGGCGAGCCCAGTGGGCGTGAGTGAGCCTTCATTACTCATTTACACACTGGGGCTAGGAAAACTCGCTCTTCCAGACACGTGCGGTTTCAGCGCCACCAGGAGCTCCGCTTCCGCTTACGCCTCTGTGTACTGACTCGGTGACCGCACTCGAGGTCTGGCTGCTACGGGGACCCCAGGGGGACAAGACGGCAAGAACAGGGCCGCAAGGTGAAGAATAAGTCTATCTTTAAATGGCTGTGAAATTCAGGAACACCCAGAGAACAATATGGCACTTAAGTGATTTCCTCTGGGGTTCCTTAGCATCCTGCCTTTGAAATTAGGCTCAGCTGGCTTGGTTTAGGAGGTGAAAAAGGCTCCGTGAGCAAAGAAATGTGCAGCTTCCACACCATGCCAGAGGGGGGCACTTTGCAGTGAGGATGCTGAAGGGCTTATGGCTGTCTAGGCGAAGGGGGATGTGACCACTTTAATAAAACCACATCACAACAGAGGGCTGTTACATTTTTAAGACAATGCCACAAATAAAAGGCGAAATGTGGATTAATTCCTTTACTGTTTAATTAATGTATGACATATGTCCAGTTAATATATGCAAGATATGCTATACACTATTACTTACTGATATGGTAACATACGAGTTTCCCAAGGTTTTAATGTAAAAACTGCTCTGTATCAATCTATGCTGGTTCGTAAAATAAGCCTGTGACACTTATTTTTGTGTGAAGATGCAAATCTACATCACCACCATGCAAGTAAGAACTTCACCTTTTCTCAAATTCATTTTCACTTTGAAAAGCACCTCGGACACTGAAGGCAGAAAGCAAGCCATCTAAGTTTCCCTCTATAAATATCAAATTCATATTCTGTAATGGCATAAGAGAAGTATTTTCCAAACGAAACAGGCGTACACGTACACATAAAAACAAAATGTATTATCACTAACTGACATGGTTAGTTGGATGCCATACTTAGCTAACCAGTGGTATTATTTATAAATATAAGGTTGCAATCTATCACATTATTGTTCAACTGGCTAAGCTAACACTAAAACAGCTAAATGCAGGAGTTAATTAAAAACTGTTTGTTTTAGGGCATTGTCATGTCCCCTCAGAAGGGTCTGCTGTGAGATGCCTTCAAATCAGACAGCTACTTAAAAAGTTCCTTCAGATGGTTCCGGTGCAATAAGGCCGGCCAAGCTTTGCACTTCAGTAAGCATCAAGATTCCTTTAAATGAAACTGCCAGAGCAAATTTTCTAAAATGTGTACTTTGGCCTGGTCTAGCACATGCTCACTCTGAGCCACAGGATGCCATATTAGACAATTCAGCATGAGGGGGTGAGAAAAGTAACTAATTACGAAACTGCGCTGGAAGATTATCGGTGCAAGTATGCAGTGATGGTGATACAAAGCAGCACAATGCGAGCTGAGAGAATCACAGAAATCAGGCCAGGCATTCAACAGCAAATTATAACATGCGCAAACTTAACTTCTCGCGGGTTCCTACATTCATGGTGATTGTGGTCCTGAAACAAAGCGCAATCAGGCTTTATTCACAGCCTTCGGAACAGTCCAGAGGAAAGGATATGAGGGGGCATTAGGCGCGACCGTCCCAACCCAGCTCCCAGCTCCCAGCTTAAGGGACCGAACTCCCTTCACAGTCTGAAGCCATGGGCGGAGGTCACGGCCGAGGCAAAACTGTCAGAGGCAGGCTGGCCACTGCAGAAGCGCGCGGGTCGGCTGGATCCCAATCTCCCATCAATTAAACTAATTAATACAGGCTGAAGGTTTGAGGATTATGAGGAGGGTGAAGGACAGAAAGAGAGAAAGACAGACAGCCAGAGCTGCTCTGATACGGCAGGAAATACCCCAAAAGCCATAATTGAGGACAGACAGCTCAGTGATAATTACACGTGAGAATCGCTGGGAGATGTCTACCTCCGTCAAGGAAACATCTGGGG